TCTGTCAAGGAACGGTAACTAGTTAAGAGCTTCGAATAGCTTCATTGACGGAGATCTTTGGGGTTGCTGTTAAATGATTTTAGCAAGTCGTTTTTGTAATTTACAAACATTATCTATCTAGTTTATGTTTCCTTTACCCCATATAATACAACAATAGTCCATAATGGGCATTAAATATGTATTGTAAAACAATAATTTCATATCAAAGTGAAAAAATACGATTTTTTTTTCAATAAGGCATTTTTTCTGTCAAGTTTTTTACAAACATTGTCAACTTGCCAGTGCCATTTTAAGTTGTTATCTATGAAAATACTCAGGACTTTTTGATCAGTTACATTTTCAAGAACTATTTCATTTATCTTAAGATTAAATTTTCTCATATTGTTTACTTTTTGTCTTGTTCCTATTACCATACATTTTGATTTATCTGGATTTAAGGCCATATTATTTATTTTGCACCATTTCTCAATGTTATTTCAATGATCTTGAAGTTTTACTTCTACTTTTGATATATTTTCTCCGGACTCATAAAGAGTAGAATCAGAACGAACATACGTGTCTCTTCTGTGCTCTTGTGGCGATATTTTTTTTGCCATTCTCCATCACTTTAAAGGGAAAGCAATATAGACTTTTGCTGCTTCGTTTTGTATTCTTATATGTTGAATATTTAAACAAATAGATCACGATTTAAACCAGGATAGGTCTGGTGAATGAAATTAAATTGCATGCATCTCGATATTTTGTACAGTGTTTATTGTGTATAATTATTTAATAGGGGTTAAATTCAACATAACACATATTTAGGAAATAAAAATATATCTTACTTTATAAAACTTTAATATGTAACTGTTGAATTTAGACAAGGTCACAAGCAATTTGCTTTCAGAATCTCTTACTACATGTACTAATTGATTACTACATTTTAATACAATTTGACTATCAAGGTTAGTTGAAATAATTGAATAATGATCTCAAGTTAAAAGTACATCCTATGAATCTTATCTTTCATATAAAGATATCTCGTGTAAATGCCAAACATTATATCACTGATAACCAAATCAAAGTAAACATAAAGACTAATTACAGACCAAGTAATAAATAATAACTATGCCGTTTATAATATGATTCAATTAATATCAATAATGCAAGCAAAATATCAAATAAAATAACAACAGTTAACAATAATACTGAGTTATAATTCGGATGTTAGAAATAAATAAAATTAATGTCTTATAGAATTTTTTACATGCAAGACAATTTAAAACTTATAGCATCCATCTTAAAAACTCACACTGAATTTTCAGTCTGTATTGTATCCCTAATAATGGCTTAATATCTTAAACCGTGTGTGGTGTTTTTAATTCATTACAAGTTTACAGAACAGAACAGAACATATACTTTATTTCTGACTTGGGCTCAACACCCAACATCATAACATACATATACATGTATAATTATTACAATGCAAGCATCAAGAATCATGTTATAATAAATTCAATCAGTTATATTCAAATATTTATGACATAGTTAAACAAGTTGATTGAGAATGCAAAAAATAAATTACTACATTAATAATATCATATCGATATGCTAATGTACCTACTTGTCTCGTCTTTCAAATGCTTTGATACGAAATATTGCTAATTTTCTAACAACCAGTTTTCTATCTGCGTTTAACAATTGTATGAATTTATAAACACTAGGATTAACAGTAAAGTATCTTGAAATGTACATACTTCTAAAATCACTATAAATTGGACATATTAATATAAAATGAAATTCATCCTCTATATCCCCGGACGTACATAATGTGCATATTCTCTGACTTCTTTCAATACCCCTGTGTCTTCCAGATTCAATATGTAGTGTATGGGAACTTAATCTAATTTTTGCAAGAACTGGTCTATGTTTTGCATTTTCTAATAAATTAAGATAAATAGACCTTTCATAATTAACTTTAACATTGGAATACAATTGCAAGGAAGAGCATAACGTCATGTCTGTTCGCCATTGGGTTACATATATATACCTGAGACGTGATCTGAATACTGGTATAAAAATGTTAATATTAACCGATTCTGGAAATAACCATAAAGTAATTGCATTTTATAGTCTAAGTTTCATGCTTACGCACGTTCACCGACTTTACAGCTATTACCCCTGGTCATCGGGCTACTGGTATCTATCTATCAATCTCCCTGGGGAGTCTTTTAACTCCGCTTAGTGCAGCCGACACTTTGGCGCAACGGATTTATACCACCCTCGCAGGTACCCATTTACACCTGGGTGAAGTGAAGCGATCGCAGGTAAATTTCTTGCTCAAGGAAATTAGCAGTGCCCCTAGTGGGGTTCGAACCCGGGACCTCTCGATCCCTAAGCGCGCGTCCTACCACTGGACTACTGCTCCTGTTACCCATACTTCGGCAAATCCAGCGTTTTGTAACATGTCTCGAACTTTTGATGACCAATTGACAACATTTGCGTTATTTGATATATCATTTCTTTGAGAACTTAAAATAGTTGTTAAAATGCAGTTTTGACTCTTATCGCCGTGTAACTTTAACCAATATTTTGCTATCCTAACATATCTTTCAATATACAGAGGAAATCTACCAAGTTCAGAATACAATGATAGAGTATTTGTTGACATTTTAACATTCAATAACCATTTACAAAATTTTCTTTTCACACGTTCAATATTTTCTGCTTTATTAAAGCCCCATACTTCACAATTATAATTCAAAATAGATAAAACATAAGCATCGAACAAATTGAACATTATTTCTATAGATATATCTAACTCTTTTGTAATGTTAAGTAAAGAGTTCATTGCCCTTAAGCCTTTTCAACTAAGGGTATTCGTTACTGGTACAAATGAACCACCGCTAGAAAATACAATTCCTAAATAATTGAATTTTGAACAATTTCTATATCAATTCCATCATATGACCATTTGAACTCTCTACTTAATTGATCACCTTTTCTAAAAACAACAATTTTAGTTTTATCAACATTTACAGTTAAATTTCATTTTTTTGCAATACAATTGTAAATTATTAATATTGTTTTGTAGACTTTCTTTGGATTCAGAAAAAAGAACGGAATCATCTGCAAACAACAACAAATACATATATATCTGGTCTAGTGTAATACAAGCATTTGGGTCTTCTTGTAAAAACATTTCGATATCTTTCAAAAATATAGAGAACATGATCGACGAGGTGATCTCCCCTTGAAAGAGACCTACATCACAGCGGACAAAATCTGACAAACTATTTAAATGTTTGACACACAGTTTAACATCTTCGTACATTGACCGTATAATAGAGAACAGTTTTCCGTCCACCCCGGTCTTTATGAGCTTATACCAAAGGTAATTTCTGTCGATTAAGTCATACGCCTTTTTATAATCCACAAAACAACATAAGAGCTTATTTTTTGTTCTAAAATGTCTTTCTATTAAAGCATTTAATATAAAAATAGGATCAATAGTACCATAATTCGGTTTAAAACCGAATTATGCGTCTGTCAAAGTTTCTGTGTTTTCAGCCCAACGTTTCAATCGTTCATTTATGATAACTGTAAACAATTTAGCAAAACAGCTGATTAATGTTATTCCTCTATAATTATTCGGGTCAGACGAATCGCCTTTTTTTATATATTGGTATTATTACTCCTGTTGACCAGCTACATAGATTATTTGTATAAAGACGAAGAAAATATGAATGATTTACATTTAATACATACATAAACATGAATCAAAAGTATAAATGATTTATAAAGAAAGCAGTAATTAACTACGAATACTTAAATACATTTGTTGATGCTTGTTTTTATTGCTTCTGTTTCCCTATTACAATCAGAAACATGCGTTTTGAAGTATCGGACAATAATGTAAACATTTGTCAAAATACTTTCAGAAAGATTTCAACATATAAACTTGTAATAAACAATGACAGACTTTGTTACTGAGGCTCTTATATACGAGGGACGGTCAGAAAATATCCGGAATTTTCATGCTCCTCTCTTTCCACGTGCAGCTATATACACACATTATATATTGGTGAAAACTACAATGTACATTCATTCGCCAATAACGTGGTCAGTTTATTTTCAATGATAGTTGTGTATACACAGTATTTTGCCCTCTGATATATGATAGGTGTTTCGTCTATCATGGACTCTTTGTTAGAGGAACAACGCTCTGTAATAAAGTTTCTGGTTGCAGAAGGTGAAAAGCCATGCCACATCTTTCAGAGGCTTAAAAAAGATTTTCTGATAAATGTGTATCACGTTCAACCTTCTACAACTGGGTTTCTCAGTTTCGTGAAGGCAGAACAAGTGTTTGTGACAGGCCTAAGACTGGGCGGCCAGCTGAGGCGGTGACCTCAACAATGGTAGCAAATGTTAAAGCTTTTGTCAACAAAAAGCGTCGGGTAACTTTGGAGGAGGTAGCCAACAAGTTTAGCATCGGTAAGGCATCGGCACACAAGATTTTACACGAACACCTAGGCATGAGCAAGGTAAGTGCCATGTGGGTGCCTAGACAGCTGTCCTCAGATCAAAAGGCAACCAGAGTAACCAATGCAAAAGAACGAAGATGGCAAAAGTGCGTAGACGTAGGTGGAGAATGTTTTCAAAAAGAAAAAGAGTAGAAAGATTTTTTTAAAATGTTGAATGGTTTTCGAGAACGAGTCAAAAGTCCGGATAATTTCTGACTTCCCCTCGTAATACAACATTATCCAATACTCGCTATACTACTTTTCTCTGATTTAAAACTAAACTGCCATATGAAAACATTTAAGGCAGTTTCTAAATCAAAACTTTGACCATTTTCATGTTAAAGCTGTTGCTAAGGGCCGTGTACGGTAGCTTAGCTTGTATTTATCAAAACTGTCAATGCACAGACTGAGTTACACCGAGATTGTTACATTTTTTCCTTTTGGACGTTCCTAACAGTTTCGATGTTTGCATCTTTGTTAGTTAAATTGCTCATTGTAATAAGAATCATTTTCATATGTTTACAAGCTAAACCTAAATGACCCATGACACTCTTTTACTAAAGGTCAATAAAACTATTTAAGAAAACTGTAGAGAGTAAAATACTATATAGTATACAACATAATTAAAAGGCTGTAAAAACGGGATATCAATATTTACATATATATACATCGTACCTTCAAGTATTTACCAGAATTTTAATAGCTGGTAGGTGTTTTGTTTCTGTTCAAACACTTTTACAGTTTCAAACATGTAAGTTACATCAGTTAGGAAAACTCAAATGTCTCTTTGTAACCAGGTGTGTTTGTTTTAAAACGTTATGCCATGGCGATCACTGTTGATGAGAATCATTTTCTCCAGTAAAAACCACTTAAACTGAAATTTTAGAAAGTATGCTCAAAGTAAAAGAAACTACAAGAATCAAAAGATATCTGCAAGACAACGTAATTTTAGTATGGTAACAATACCTTTGACCTGACGACAGTTTATACGAAGTTTTTCCATAAACACAATGTATGCCTTTTTGTGTGCTGTCACATTGTTTTATCGACGTGGAAATATTTGCGATGTTTGTTCGCGCAAAAATTATTTTTTTAGGCAAACTTTCTTCTTTCATTTGCAAACACGTTTTCATACAGCATCTTACATGAATAAATTTGACTGTTCAGGTACCTAGATTATTTTTACTCATTGCTTATGTGTTTAAGTTTGGTCATAACAAATCACAAATGTTTTAAGAAAACAATATGTTTGTAAATAACACAATTATTATAGGTTATAGTTTGATTTTATTGACCTGTCAATTATGAATACATTATAGCACTCATTTAAATATTCGATCCCATTTTGGTTTTGTCCGTGTCGTTTACGAGAATTAATATGAAATATATAACTAATGTTTTGAAGGTCACACCATCGTAAGGCAAAGCTAGTCATTACATCCTGCAATATCACAGTCGGTTAAGTGATTGCCTTATGTGCGAGAGTTTTGTGGTTAGATCGCTACTACTGCCATTGTTTTAGACCTACTCTTTATTTTTGCAGTGTATTTTAATGGAAATGGCCGAGAGCTTGCATTATTGTCTACACAGATATAAAGCAACTTAGAAACACTGTTTTGTGTCGATTTGTATTGTGTTTACAGCATTAAAATGACATTTACCGATTTTAATCGAATGAATTTTAAATATTTATTCTTAAACCGTGTTTATTAAAGAGTACAATGTATAGACTTTACCAAAATAAGCGCAAATCATATTAAAACAAAACAAACAAATAAAAAAAAAGAAACAAGCTTTAATAATGTTGAAAATATAGATAAAAGAAAACATGGACCTACGAGGTCTCGATCTTACAACACGCTGAACACTTAGAAATAATTATAAACCCATGGTTCACCCTATTGCGCTTTAACGCCTAGTACAATAAACTTGCAGATACAGATTAAGATAAATCATATCACGGGGGTGGAACCCCATATGAATCTCAAAAATGAGCATCGGTAAAAATGATATGTGAATTTCCGCTACACCAGATGTGAAGCATAACACCAGATGTGACTGGAAAAATAGGCTGATTGCAGGGTAAGTTTTCATCTTTTTAAACATTTATATAAAATTCAATCCTTCATTTAACAAAATCGAAATGTGATTCTACCCTCCTGAGTCTCCTCTATATTACCCCTTGTTGTTTTGGATTTCTATGCAGTCTTCATCGAGATATTCTTTTCGTCGTGGGTTCTGGTGTGTCCAAAATATGCAATGTGAATGAAGAAAATGTCACTAAACGGACTAAAAAAACAGCGATTTTACGAAATCTAAGTACAGGCCGATGCTCAACATTCAAACAAATCCTGGTTTAAACATTTATTGAGATTTGGCTATATACAAGGGAATCGCTGCTCAAAATTACATTTGAGCTCCAGATGTGCTGACGGGATTCATAAGTGATGTAGAAAACCATCTACAAAACTACGGACCACTTCCATATAATCATTGAATAGCCAATGTATAGAAACAATATAGGTTTTGCAGCTCTGGCGGAAAGTTCAGTTGTAACATTAGTGTGTTTGATTACCACAGTGACAGAGCACACTAGCTTATGCTAGCATTAGAAATACTAAAAGACCCGAGTACATGAAAATGTTGACGCAGAGCGGATAGTACTCGTATGATAAACAATTCACTGATAAATGATATGTAACTTGGACAAACCAAACTGAAAGTATTGAACTTTGTAAAGCTATCGTGTCATATAATATGTTTCTATAATAATGTTTACTTTCATAAAAATATCTATCACTTTAATATTCCACAAGTTATAGTTATAGCGACAGACTGTTTTGTGTAAATATCATGGCCTGATGCGACATCGAAGGTTTTTCTTTACAGAATATGGGTCGAGAACATTGTCTGTAAGGAAAACCCGAGATGCCGCCCCAGGTCATGATATTTCTACATAATAATAGAGTTCGATACATTATACATGTGTAACTGTTTTATCGCATGATAAACAGAAATGAGAATTTTAATAAACATAAAATTTCAATTTATAATTGGCTTCTTTCCATAAATTAAATTCCCCACCCGAAACCTCGGTTACTTTTTATGTAACGTGTCAATTACCGATATTGTAAACCTCTCATCACATGAGCCAATTAGAAGTGTGTTGAGTGTTCCTGATTGGTTGGATGACAAAAGACACAGAAAAACATTGCTGTAAATAATTTGGACGCGCCAGTATTACACTAACCGCCGTTTCATCAGCATTTTGATGGCATGTCAAAAGATGGATTTTTAAATTTATATCAATAAGTCTATTATTAACGATTACTGTTATTTTCTCGGGTACTTGAAATGGATGATATTGCAAGTAATGGTACTCATGAAAAGATTCATAGAGGCAGTGCCTCTTAGCGCAAAATAACATGAAACAAAATAAAAGGTTTATAAACAAGTACGTCCATGCACCAGACAAAACTTTATGCAAACCCATTTCCACATTATATATCCCATTAATAAATTTGTTTTTTGCTGTTAAAGTTTCTTTAAAACCATTCAAAGAATTACAGAGCAGGCATGAAATTCAGATAGGCACTGACCCATAATTACGACTGTGGGCATGGCATGAAGTGAACCATGTAAATATTCTGCAGGGACGTTTCTTGATGTGGAAAATAAATATGCAAATCTTCTTTGATCTTTTTTTAAAAGTTTATCACAAACTTTCTTACAACATCATAACAAATTCAAAAACGCTTCATATTACTCCCCTATTAAGCAGACAGTGCAGTCGAGTGAATAATTAATTAATTAATTAATGCATGGTGGCATAAAAAGGGAAAGATTGCAGTACACACGACGTCAATAAGTCAAAATAAGCAAGGTCTTCCCAAAATATCTACGTATGTTCAAAACCTTTCGTATGCAGAATGTCTTATATCTCTTTCTATATGGATACTATGTTATTCAAGTGAAAATGTGTCTATTTCGGATAATAGTATTTATTACAGAATGATATACAATAGAATGAATTCTAGATTGCTGTATGAAAGTGATGCGTAATTATGTTGCTTTTTTATGTTATGCACATATGAATCTCTTCAACACATCTGGAGCTCAAATGCAATTTTGAGCAGCGATTCCCTTGTATGTAGCCAATTCTCAATAAATGTTTAAACCAGGATTTGTTTGAATGTTTAGCATCGGGGTAATATAGAGGAGAGTCAGGAGGGTAGAATCACATTTCGATTTTCTTAAAAAAAGGATTGAATTTTATATAAATGTTTAAAAAGATGAAAACTTACCCTGCAATCAGCCTATTTTTCCAGTCACATCTGGTGTTATGCTTCACATCTGGTGCAGCGGAAATTCACATATCATTTTTACCGATGCTCATTTTTGAGATTCATATGGGGTTCCACCCCCGTGCATATGTTACTGAGAACATCTCACGGAACTTCCCGAAAATCTATCGAAGATTTATATATTGTGTGCATTGACCGTATAATTAGTATGCAATTGACAGGTTAATAAAATCAAACAATATTTATATAACAAAAGAATGTTTCAAAGTATGACAAAGAAATGTTTGATCAGGTATTTATCAAACTAACAATGTTTATTTTAAACATTTATATAAATAATAAAAGTATTAATGAACTGAATAGAATAACGGCATATTGCATATAACATTTACCTGCTTAATGAACTTTGTTCGCTCGAACTCGGAGGGCCTGTGCAAATTTGTTCGAGAGATCGGTAGTTCGAGCCAACCGAGGTTGAACTATTATTACGTTTATCATATGCCTTACGGTTTTCTTGCTAACATCGGTCGAATGATAAATGCGTCAATTTAATTGTTTGTTAGTACATCTCTTCGTCGAGTATGTCATATTCAGAATTATTATCCCAGTGTTTTAATTAAGTATTAACGGTACGCTGTGTTAGTCTATATTCATGGTTGAGTTCGATTGGGCAATCACACCAAACTTGTTGAACAATGTTCAAAATATATTTATATGTATATAATGGGATGAATTTAATTTAAAAAAATAAATTTATGAAATATTTAAAAAAAAAACATTTACAGCAGCATCTGTTTGTAGTCATTTACTAAAATAAACACACGTACAAGTATTATTATATAAATAGATAACACTGTAATAATTCACTTTACATGAACCACGGTTGTTATTAAAGCCGTCCAGGTAATTGCCATGCATATTTCACTAAGTTCACGAGTTATTTTCTTTTTATCGTTACCATAAACGGCAAATCAACAATATTATCATAACAAACAAATCGGTTACAAGTCAAGTCAAGTCAAGTCAAATTTCCTTTATTTCACACATTTCATGTTAACATGAATAAATGTGGTTAATAATAAATACAATGTGAGTAGAGGCTCTTTAAACAAATGTACAATGTATAATTATATAATTTGAGTGGTAAAATAATTCGTAGAAAGAGTATTTATTCATATCATTTGCTGAACTGCAGTACGTTCAATTAACAATGTATCAAAACCACAAATTGTTAAAGTTCTTAGTAAATATGTTACCACAAAAAACCGTGGAGAGTCACGTAATTTGGACACTCTCTAAGGGTATAATTTCGTTTCATATTACCTTTCTTTTTATTTATCGACAAACGATGAGAATAGTTACAAAAAAGAAAAAGGGAAAAGAAATAATATTATAAACAACTGACAAGTGATGTACAATTATGTACGACATAATATTTTAAACCATTACAATGACATTTCTAGACTCATACTTATAAGCTAAATGAAAAAAGTGTCATACTATTTAGACAAATATTATAACAAACAAACACTTTACAATGGGTAATAAAAGATTTATCTGTGAATATTCGTGTAATAGTCTTGGAATGTAAGTAATTCTTGGAATGTAAGTAATCACATATGAGGTGAGTTCTAATTTTAATTATCTTAAAATTATTGTTTTAACAAATTTACATAATTTCAAATATTCGCTCTTGTTTTCTGTATTAATTAGTTGATCTAGTTTGAATGTATTTGCACGTCTGTAATAATAGGGTTTCAAAAATTTCTTTCTTTCATCATTAAGCAAAACACATTCAAATAAGTAATGAAATTCGTCGCCTATTTTATTGTTACAAGAAGTACATGTTCTTTGATTGATTGGTATTCGGGCCCAATTGCCTGTTTCTATTGGTAATCTATGGTTACGTGTTCGAAATTTTATCATGTAACGAAGAAAAGGTTTAGGAGTTGATAAAAGGTATTTTTCGAATTTAAATTCTTTTTTGAATATTCTGTAGAATGTACTTTTGCTGGAGTTTTGAATAACGGAATACCAATCATTTAGAAAAAAATCTTTTAGATTCTTCCTAATTGCTAATTTCAACCACTTGTCGTTTCCGAAATTTTGTGTATCCCATATATTACATAAACCGCAATTTATGAAAATTTGTCTTAAGTTTGCAATTCAAGGAAATTTTTTTTTCTCAAATTATTTTCACTTAAGTTTTTTGAAAGATTATATATAATATTGTTTAATAGTGACGACACTTTCTTTTGATGGTTATTTACATCGTGCTTTTTTAATCTAGCCTAAAACATTATTATTCTTTCATTTCTATCAAAAGATAGCGACAGGCAGCCTGTTTCTCCGTACACCATATAATTCGTGGTGGATCGTTTCATATTTAAAATATTTTTTTTTGATTGTGCTCGTTCAATCACTTCTATATTACCATATCCCCATATTTCCGCCCAATTAAAGAAGAATAGGTTTAATTGTTTTATTAAAAAAGATATATTTGGATATCAATTGGTAAACTAAGTCGACTTGAGTTTCTTATCAAATATGCATTGCTCTAGTAGCGTGTAATGCTATGAGCTTTTAAGTTTAAGTATATGATCCACTTTTACAAAAATAAAACTCCTAGATACTTGTACTCCGTAACTACCTCTAATCTTTCGTTGTTCAAGATAAAATTATAGTTTTGTTGTCGTCCTTTAGAAAATACTACGATTTTAGATTTAGATGTATTTACAGTAAGTTTTCATGTTTTACAATAGTTTTCATACAAATGTAATGATTTTTGAAAATCTTCAACCGATTCAGATAAAATAACAGTGTCGTCAGTGTAAAGTAATATAAATATCTTTAAAAAATCACGAATTTCGTCTGCGTTTTGGTCATTTTGTACCGTGATTCCCATAGTGTCATTACTATTTGCAAAATAATCGCTAAGGTCATTCAAAAACATTGAAAAAAGTAGAGGGGACAAGTTCTCTCCTTGACGTACGCCTATGTTACTAGGGAAAAAATTTGAAACTTCAAAGTTAACTCTGACACACGATTTAATGTTATCGTACATGTTTTTAATGACATTTAAACATTTTCCTGTTATATTAAGATTAAAGAGTTTTTGCCAAAGACCATTTCTCCAGACTGTATCAAAGGCTTGTTTGAGATCGATAAAAGCACAGAATAATTTATTTTTACTGTTATTAACGTAATTGATTAAATGATGTAATACAAAAATTTGGTCTGTGGTTGAAAACCCCTTCCTAAAACCTGCTTGACTATTATTTATTATATTATTTTCATCTGCATAAGTAGTAAGCCTATTATTTATTATACTGGTAAAAAGTTTTCCCAAACAGCTTAGAAGTGTTATAGGTCTATAATTTTCAGGTTTACTAGCATCACCTTTGTTTTTATATATTGGATTTATTATCCCAATAGTCCACATTTCAGGTATAACACCTTTTTCAAATACTAAATTAAAAAGTTTGAAATACGTATCTTTCATTAAACTATATGAGCATTTTATTTGTTCGTTAACTATTTGGTCTAACCCACATGCTTTATTATTTTTTAACATTTTTACTGCCTTATCAATCTCTTCATATGTTATAGGACAATTGATAGATCTAGATTCGTTTTGGTTTGATTGCTCATTATTTTCTAGATCAAATGTGTTATTGTCATTAATTGTTCCATCATTTGAAAAATTAACATTTCTGAAAAATTCATACATTTCATCGATACTTGCTTCCGTTTTGCATTGACTGTTATTATTACGAAGTAAATTCCAATATTTCCTGGGATCTTTGATTTTTAATTTGCGAAATTTATCAATGTTTCTATTCAAATGTTTATTTTTAAACGAACGCATAGTATTTTTGTATATCTTACTTTTTTCTTTAAGGTTATATTTGTTTTCGTCAGTTTTTCTTAATTTATATAAATATTTCGCTCTATGAAAGTTTCTTCTTGCTTTCCTACACTGATATCCAAACCAAGAGCTATTGTTATTTACTACTTCATTGTTGTTTTTAATTTTATAGCCAAATGCTTCCTCAGAAGTTTTAAGAAATAGTGAGGAGATATTTGTAACTAAATCATCTGCATTTTGCTGATTAAAATTGTCGCTATTTTTCAAAACGTCAAGTTTTTCATTTAATTCCTCTATAAGATTTATATCAAATTTCTGTAAAAAGCTTTCACTTTTCTTATTGTCCCATAATTTAATAGATGGTTCAGTATTATTAACATGTTCAACAATTTCAATTTGGTTAGTATTCAATGTTAAAACAATAGGATTATGTGCATCTGATAAAATGGGACAAAAATCTTTAACAGTAAGATCGAGTACATTTTTAAACAGATTTGAATTACATATAAAATAATCGACGGTACTGGTACCTTTACAAGTAGTACTTCCGGTGTAATCGCCAGAAGTTCGACCATTTAATATATACATATTATTTAATTGTAAAAAATCAATAAATCTATTACCGTAACTGTTATTATGTTTATCGGTGTTATAACGTAATAGCTTTACATTTTGTGCATTTTGAAATTTACTCATTTCAGTATCAAATTCATCGCAAAGAACGCTTAAGTTTTGGTTTTCCAAAAAACGTCTATCGACTGTAATAAAATCTTCAGTTGATTTTGTACGTGAATTGAAATCTCAAAACAATATATACGATGAGTAATTGTCCGACAGGCGATTGAAATCGTCTTGAATTTCGGAAAAAGGATCGTCAACTGCATAGTCCGAGTATTCGGGTGGTATATACACAACACCACAGAAAATGTCTGTTTCAGATTTGCATAAAACCTCTTACAGCACCTCTTATTTTGTATCAATTAACCTTAATTAATTTGTCACTATCACTAGGTGTTAAAAACATGTGTCGCAGACTGTCATTTATTTAGGACATGTCGAGTTGTCTTTTTGTGTTCGACCGAAAAGGTGTGATTTTCACTATATTTCTGCCGAAGGGACCAGAGAACAGGTTCGAGAGTTCGAGCGATCGGTGTTCGAGCGATCCGAGGTAGAACAATATATATTATATAGGAATTTTGCCGGGACTGTGTAATGAGTTCGAGCGAAGGGAGGTATTCGAGCGATCCGAGTTCGAGCGAACGAAGTTTAACTGTATATGTAACACAAAACAGTATTAAATTCAAGAAATCATATTTTCGCAATATTCCTGCGCGCAAAAAGTCCACTTTTTGACATTCGCAAAATGTTTGTTACGCATAAATATCGACTTATACAATTCAATTCAATTTTTTCATATCAATGTCTTTATTGCTTTAAACATTTTACAATGCTTATAGCACAGAGCAGTACCTGACCAAGTATAATGACAATTAAGGCAAAAATGTGACAACTAGAGTGTTAACGAAGTAAATGTGGACGGACGACAGACATTCAACGATTCTAAAAGATCATTAGAGCCAGCTCAGAAGAGCAAAAAGCAAAAAACATTAATACTTTTATCAAGAATTTTAAACGCTTGATAAGCTCACCTTCAGTTTTTGCATTTGCTCATGTGTTTCGTCGTGATGTTCCTCTGGATGTTCCTGGAATACCTCTTTTAAGAGTTGAAAGGAATCGCCTTGTAATACTGTCCGATGAACTACGTTCTCAAAATCCTTGAAAAAACCCATATATATGTACTTTCGTGAAGTTAAAATCTAAATATGTAACTGGTATTCAAATATTACATCATTTGCTTGGATTTGATAAAATTAGTACTATTAAAGTAAATAATTATCAAATATCTATGATTATCCAAATACATAAATATTTTATGTCTTTATTTGTCATCACTAATTTAATCAAGTCACTGTGTTTTATTTACCCTTGTTATATGAATGGCACGTTCGAATTCTGATAAACACTCTGTGAGAAGTCCTTCAAGGCTGGCAAGCCCGTCATATGTCTTTGCAAGATGGTCTAAAATAAATAAAACATTAACAACAATCAAATCAACAAAGATTAGTTATAATGATGATTATAAATGAACTAAACACATGTCTTTAAAATGTATATCGAAAAAGCTCTAACAAATTATTTGTGTTACGTGAGATAGAAATAGAAAAAAAACATACCAATCTCTGCATTGGAATTTCTAAGCTCGATAGTACTACATTTTGATTCATACTCTGCATTTGATTTTCGCTTTCTTTGAGCCAGTTCCTTCATATCCTGTGCATTTAATATAAGGCTTGCAGCAGCCATCTCACACTCGTTTGCGCCATTTAAAGCCATGCCAATACCTGCCGAGACCAAACCTGCTCCAAGGGAAGCACCATCTGAAAGTCATTTTTGAATTGTTGAAACAGATTTTATCTGTCATGACTATACTTTATACCTGTATATAAAAGGTTCACCAGACATTAAATAAAACAAGTAGTCAGTCCAAAAACATTGGCTAGGGTTCATTAATTGTTTGGGGTTGACTAGAAGGTCATAATAATGTATCAAGATCTAAAGAATTGTGTATATTTTCCTTTATCATATAGCACTCTACAAGAATTAAACAGAAGTAAGTGTACTACATATACAACATTGTAAGTTAAAACATCTTTTTTATTTGTTAATTCGTAGATATTTTGTTCTAGTTTGTTTCTGTTTAATTTTGTTTTGTTTGTCCGTTTTATCAAAAATTTGCTACATTGCTAAACGCATCAGAACATAAAACTGTTACTGGTTTGAAATACATGATGCACTGTTCAAAAGTACAAGGTATAAAATAAATTGTCATACCTAGCTAAATGCGGTGTTTGCTTTCTCCTGTAATAATAATAATAATAATAATAATAATAATAATAATAATAATAATAATAATAATAATAGTAATAATAATAATAAAACAACTGTACAAGTACACCTACATGTAGATGGTGCAAACAATATTCCTACAATAGCGGATGCAGCGCCCCATAAAGATCCCGTTTTTTTAAATTCCTCTGATAATGATCGAAGTCTACGTGCTTGATTTTCGAGGTAAACAGCATTATGTTCCTCATTGGTAGCTCCATACTCTTCACATTCCTGGAACATCTTTTTTATGCCTTGTAAATAATCGCCTTGTGATAATAATAGATGAAATTCGGTCTTGAAATCCTTGAAAAAAAACTGTATATTTTTACTTTCGTTACATTAAAATCTAAATATGTTATTAGTATTCAAATATTACATCATTTACTTGGATGTGATAAAAATAATACCATCAAAGTGATTAATTATCAAATATTTACTAAATCCATGCATAAGCAATTGAGACAATGTACAACTTTGGCAGTTTTTCATAAACACATTGCTTTTTCAATCACGGTGTTGTAGTTTTAATACAATGGTGCTGATTATTAAGATACATAGAAAATTTTATGTCTTTATTTGTCACCAATAATTAAATCAAATTAATGTGTTTTATTTACCTTTTTTATGGGAAATTCTAAGCCTGATATACACTCTGTGAAAAGTCTATCAATGTTTGCAGTCTTAGCAAGATGGTCTAAAATAAATAAATCACTATCAACAAACAAATCAACAAAGATAAGTTATAATGATGTTTAAATTTGAACTAAACCCATGTCTTTAAAAAAAATAGAAAAAAGGTTTAAATTTGTGTTACGTGAGAACGTAATAGAAAAATAACATACCAGTTTTCGCTTTGGAATTACTAAGCTCGATAGATGTCGTGCTAAATTTTGATTTATACTCTTCCATTAATGTTCGCTTTCTTTGAGCCAGATCCTTCATATACTGTGCAGTTAATTTAAGGCTTGCAGCAGCCATCCTACACTTATAGGCACCATTAAAGTATATGGCCATGCCAATACCTGTCGAGACCAAAGCTACTCCAAGTGAAGCACCAGCTGAAAGTCATTTTTGAATTGTTGAAACAGACTTTATCTGTCATGACTATACTTTATACCTGTATATAAAAGGTTCACCAGACATTATATATCACAAGTAGTCAGTCCAAAAACATTGGCTAGGGTTCATTATTTTTTGGGGGTTGACTAAAAAAGTAATTATAATGTAACAGAATCTAAAGAATTGTGCACATTTTCCTTTATCATATCGCACTCTACAAGAATTAAACTGAAGTAAGTGTATTACACATACAACATTGTAAGATAAAAAAACTTTTTATTTTGTTATTTGTTAATTCGTTGATGTTTTTTTACCTTGTTTCTGTTTAAGTTTGTTTGTTTGTCCGTTTTATCATTAATTTGCTACATTGCGAAGACCATGAAAACAGGAAACTCTTACTGTTTTTAAATACATGATGCAATGTACAAGTGTACAAGGTATAGGTTAAATTATCATACCTAGCTAAATGCGGTGTTTGCTTTTTCCTGTCATAATAATAATAATAAGTAACAACTGTACAAGTGCACCTACATGAAAATGGTTCAATCAATATTCCTACAAAAGCAGATGCAGTGCCCCATAATGATGCCTTTATGTTAAATGCCCCTGATATTCGTCGAAGATTACGTGCTCGGATTTCGAGGTCAACAGCACCACGTTCCTTATTGTTAGCTTCATCCTCGTATTTCGATAGTTCTTTTTCGGTCAATTGAAGCATATCTAATATATTTATTTCAAACCTAGCTTCTTTGATTTCATCTTCTTTTAATTTTATCGTACAACGATTGGCACCAATAAAATTATGGATTTTCGACTTCAAAGAAACTATTTCGCCTGTGCAAGTACGAAGGTTACGCTTAAACGCAAGTAACGTTTGTGACAATCTTTCAATATCCACTCTGCTGGGACAAGGCACTCGTGAAATCTTTTTCTTTTCCTTTAACACAGCACTTCCGGTTACTGTAAACGCATTGGTTACGCAATTACAAACACCCTCTGCTTTCTGGTTAAGTATATATATGTCAGTTTTTGTGTCTGGATCATTTATATTTCTTGAAAATTCCTGTAGCTTATCCGGTAAGCATCTGATTTTCTGTAAATAAATGATTTTTGAAGTCTGAAACCGAGTGTAGTTGTATATGTATTATAGTATACTGTATAGATATTCATTACCTGAGGGAACGTGAATAATTAACAAAGACATATAACTTTTCATATACTATATGCATTGTACACGTCATATTTAAATATAAGCTTGAACAAAATACATATTCATATTTTGCAGCACTAAATAAATACATATTTATTAGCTGACACAGATATATGTATTCTATATTTACATTACATCTACACCATACTGCATTACAATCGTAAATGATTACACTAAGCATACGCGTTGTCTATGAATAGCTGTTAAAACAAATGTGTTAAGTGGCCTTGAGCCATATACGGGAATCATAATCGGGATAGATTTTTTTTACCTTTCGTACAAAGTCCTCCAAGATCTTAAATAAAAGTTGTCCTCTGTGATTACGTGTATTATTAGCCTTTGTTCTCATGTCTATGTATGTTACATACTGAGATATATTCAATAAACTTAAAACTATTTAATAAACTTGATAATCAATTGTAATTTGACCATGTTTGATTTATAGATAAGATAATGATTTAAAACATAATCAGAAAATAAAAAAAATCTCTCGGTATGTTGCATTTTGTTCTAAGTAATTAAAAACAAACATTAATTGAAGTGTATCACCTCTATGTATAGGTTAGTGTTTAATAATACGTATAAACAAAAATAATTGGTCAAGCCTGCCACAGGCAGGCGATCAATTATTTTTGTTTACGCGTATTATTAAACATTAACCTATTTCATGATCATCATTACTGGTAGTATAGGGGTCTCTTTAACGCCACGACTGCGCATGCACGGCGGCCATTTTGTTTTCTATTAATAGTAACTCATTTGCATAGAAGAACACACACTACTTTGGCATCTCAATAGTCCTTTGTTAGTGTATCCGCCCCTAAATAAACACACGCCATACATTGCGGCGACTTTAAAGGGATTAACTTTAACAGTTAAATAGGCTATTGTTAAACCATCTGGTCTTAAATAGATAGACACTAGACACTGAGACTATGATCACGTTCGGTGCACTCGTGACCTGATCTAAATATAACTTATAATGTCGCTTGTAAAAACAGGTCCGAGCATGCGCAATAAGTACAATTACATTTATGATTGGAGTCATTTTGTCACTGGACGTCTAGCAGGAAACATTGTCAACAAAAAGTACTATGTTCAGGTAAAATACATTGCTTAATGCTTTAGTTTAAATCAAATGCATATTTCGTTCTATTTATTTATTTTTACATCAATATAGTTCATTTTTTATATAAATTCAATTCGTGTATGGATAAATCTATATGATATATAAATATGTTTCGTATATAGTTCTTTTTATCTGTAATTTATTTTGACATGTTATAATTATTTTTTTTTCACTAATATTGTTCAACAATTTATTTATTTATACTGTTTGATAAGTTTTGATAATAAAATAAAACTTTTATTTCTCTGTAATATCTTGTCATCTCTCCGTTTAGGGCTCAGCACCTGACCCTCAATGTGCGCGACCACGCCTTAAATCGTGTATACAAGTCAGCTCTGTATACTTCCGGGGGATATTTTTATTCACGTTTCTATTAATAAAGTGATGATGTCATTCTTAAAATAGAATCCAAAATGGCCGCCGCATGTCTGTTATTCAACACGGCCATCGTGCATGTTGAGTGAGGTCATTTCTTCTATGCAATTGAGTTACTATAAAAAGAAAACAAAATGGCCGCAGCGCATGCGCAGCCGTGGCGTTAAAGAGACTATACTACTATTTCTTTTTCAACCAAAAAACAAGGCATTTCTCTAAATCACTGATAGCTCCGCCTTTTCGCTCTACAAGATGTCTAAACCTTGTCAACTTTCTAACATGTCACATTTAGATAAGCTAAATAAATGGCCCTTTCAACATATAATCAGACACATTTTTTACTGAAATGTCACAGAAGTATAGCTTTATCTACAGTAAGACTATCATGTTTCTATAAAAAAAAACAGCGAGGAAAAAAGATGCAATTAGGTAAAACCAATGGAGTTAATGAAATGTGTACATCCTTTTAAAATATCTGGAAAATGTGAGAAAAATAAATAAGAGACTATTAATTGATACAAATTTGTTATAAGCTTCAAGTTATTCACTAACATTCAAAATCCCTATTAATTTGCTCATTTGAAAAACAGTTCTTTTTTCTGTGTGGAATGGGTTCATGTTCAATGAGTTTTCCAGCCAAAAATGAATAAAATATAAAAGTACATGTACCTAAATGACGTTTAGGTTTGAGAATATATAATCACTTAAATGTGTGACACAAATATATTCACCTAGCAACAAGTAGAAATTTACGCTACCAGAACACCTGTATAGATTTACAAAATTAGAAATGTAGTTGAAATATTCAATACTCACTGAATACGGTAATAATTATATTTCACTGTGTTTAGAATTTGTTTTCACCTCACTACACTTTACTGCAGTAAATTTATTGTCCCTGTATTTCAAAACTTTTCTTGCTAAAGATTATCATTCTTCATAGTCATCATTAGCATCATCATCCTAATCAATACACTCAATATACTTATGTGTATCATCAAGATCATCAGCAACGTGATTATGCTAATTAATAATTATGAGAAGAAATAGTATGACAACACTATCAGTATCATAATCATCATCATCACAGCGAATAAGATGACCATAACAATAATCAACAGCGTGAGCATCAATATCATTATCATCATCAACATCATCATCAGCATCATCGTATGAGTATAGATGCTCACTATTAAACGTAAAAAACCAGCCTAATATTGTACAATAATTAGGATCATTATGAGAAGCAGCAGCAGGATGGTATCAACGTAATCATTGCAAATGTCATGTAGGGAGAGAAATGTGCAGCCTGACCTGTACTCGAACCAGGTACACATCTCACTTATTAGGCAGCTTCATTAATAAAAAGAAAAGTGCTGAATTTTGCCATACCCCATCGTCGGTTAACCACGGTATATATTCCGTACATACTACATTAACTAGATAATGTAGTATGTACGGAATATACACCGTGGGTACCGACGATGGCCATAACACTGCCCTTGAATTTTTCTTTCTTATGGGCACAGATAATGAACCTTTTGAGCTGCAAACATGATACAATCACAACCCCCTTTGGGTGCTAAATGTCTCAGGGTAAAATATGTACCTGACCTGTACTTGAACCAACTATTGGAATACCATATAGTAGCTCTACTGACCAAGCTTATAATCACAGGAACATTTAATATCAGTGACTGTTTTATACCATGACACTATCAAAATACCTTTTACTCATCACCATCAACAACATAATTATTCAACTGTTAAAATGACCATCAAAATACTTCTACTCATCATCGTCATCAGTGCAATCAACATGATTCTGGTCATCATCACTATCATGGACATAATCATCACAATCAAAATACTTTTTTGCTCATCATCACCATTATCAACAAAATCATCATCATCGCAATCAACATACTTTTGCTCATCGTCATCATCATCATCAATATAATCATCAGCATCAACATCACAATCAACATATTTCTGTTCACAATTACCATTATTATCATCATCATCATCATCCTCAACATTATCATCAATATAATCATCAGCATCACCATCAATAAACTTCAGTTCACCATCACCATCATCAATATAATCATCATCACATTATTACTGCAATCAAAATACTTAAATTGCTTATCTTCACTAACATCAACCTCATATTCAACCAAATCTTTAGACATTTTAACAATCGCTATTGTCAGGAACATGTTTACTAATAGAATCATTGTCATCATCAGCAATGCTATTTTCATCATCAGAATTATCATTGCAATTAACATCAGTATGCTTCATATCACCATCATATTATCATCACATTCAAAATACTTTGCTTACTCATCATATATATAATCATTTTCATCCACATATGACATACTAGATCCTGACAGATAAGAATTTCCACCTCCCTCTTGTCTGGCACTTCTTAGACAACCTATGGAAAGCACTCTTCAAGAAGAATACCCTGGCCGGAAAATTAAATTTTGCCCTCCTTCGAACTCAGTTACGAGTACCACATTTACAACCTATGGACGACACTTTCCTGAAAATAACCCTCCCCACCCTGGACTGTCATTTTTATAAGCTCCCCACCATGTCGTGAATATCACGATATTATTAGATAATTAACTATTTAAGCGGGAAAATATTTTATTTTCTGTTTGCTCCTTGCCATGAAATTCTTGATTTTCATGTCATTTACATTTTAAATAAATGGCGGGAAAATTCTTTATATTTTATAAACTCCTTATCACGAGAATTGTGCTTTTTGTGTATTTTGCTCTCTGCCATGAAATTCATGATTTTCATGTTATTAACAATTTAAATATATGGCGGGACAATTATTTATATTTTCTAAACTCCTTGCCACGAAATTTGTGCCTTCACGTTTTTTTCCTTAGGCTTATGGCGGGAATAGCAACTTGTATAAAAAGATTGTAGTTGTATGTAAGATTGTTAACACGATAAAGGATTGTTACGAAATACATTAAATGATTGGATAAATGTTTATAATAAAAATTTTGGAATTAACAGATTTAAATAAAATGTAAAAAAATTTCGGTATTGGAATTTTTTATTCAGAGGAAATAAGATGTATTAAATCAAATGTCAGTGTGGAATGGGCATTATTATTCGGTCTTATATTAAGGAAATCTTAAAGTCCACCACACACCCTTCCTCGACAGGTATCTTTTGGACAAACTCTGGAAGTTCTTTTCACAAAATATCCCCTCTCGACAAGCATTTTCAACCTTCCCTTCCAACTTGATTCTCATCCCTTGTGTATCCTTAAACAATTATAGTTCTTTTCTTTATACACATATTTCTGGCTAAATACAAATATTGCTGGAAAATACTCATGTTTAAG